TAGAGTCGTGGTCACTGCTGCGTTTCTGAACTGCTCGTGGGCGAATGCATTGCATAATATATGATAAGTATTCTGTCAAATTCATCATGAAAAAGAACAATAGGCTTGCGTTGCAAATTACATACTCGCATCATTTTAACAAAGCAGTTCATCCAAGTGCACTTAAACCTCCAATTACGCTGTGGCAACCTGCCGGCTGCTCGTGTGTATCAACCCCGCCGGCCTGTTGCTAGTGCACCAACGTTCGATTGCAAAAAAACAATGTCTTTCAAAAGATAATGTGAGTGTTAGTGCGCTTGAATAATTTTTTTTGCATTACAGGGCTTATTCTTCTTTTTAGTGATACCTGGGGAGAAACCTGATTAAAACATTACGCAATTCACTAGCACCGCGGGCATACAAGTATACAGTGCACATTTGTTTCGATTTTGATTATAATACTTTTACTCGTTCTTTCATTCGATGCAGTTGACAATTGCGTTCTTCTGTATCGCGTATTAATTGCTTGGTGACCGCATATATCCGCATGTGAATCTGTCATACACCGTAAGTGAATATGCCATATTCGTTGCGGAAATGACATAATATTTGTATCGTGTTAACCGCATAACACAACTTTCTTTGCCTTTAGCATTCAAATTTCAAAATGTACAACAAATGCCAACTAGTGATTTTGTAAGAAAACATATAAAAGCTCGACTTCAGTTGGTATTACATAAATATAATTGTTGCTCTATAAAAACCACATATAGCAACGGCATCGACGTCAAATAAGTGAAATTGATAAAATTTGGGGTAGGGGGAATAGAAAATATATCTAAAATTCGGAAGAAGGTATTATCATATTTATGTTACCACAGTGTGCATTAATATTCTGGAATATGTAAAAATATGAAAACACATGCTTCTCTCAAATTCGTGAAGAGTGTTACGCGGTAAACACGATACAAATACATGTCATATTCCGCAACGAATATGGCATAATCACGTGCGGTATATGACAGATACACCTGCGGTATAGGTGAACCTATGACATGCACATTAATCATTGAGGACGCGATATGGAGGTACTCAATTGTCAATTACATCGATTCAACGAACAGGTTAAAGTCTAAAAATTATTATAATTATTGACGCCAGTAGTACATATATTGTTTGTTGTTGTTTTATATAGGTGTTACACTCAAAAACACACTTCAAGTGAAACATGATTACTCATAAATAAACGAACCCACGTTCGTATAGCTGATGAGTTAATTTTACAACCAAATCAACAGTTTAAACAAAGACCAGATAAAAACCTGAAAAACACGAGTATTTGATCGATCTAACTACGTTTCTGATACGTTCAGAAGTATCTTTTACCGACCACACGCAATAAACTTTCTCAATAACTCCAGGATTCATAGTTAAGGGCTCGAAGCGATAAAAAACAATGGTAATCCATTATAGTTTTACATTTAGTGTTGATTCTCTAAACCAATCAAATCGAGGCAATTTTGTATGGCGTTCACCGCGCGGTAAATTCCATATTCTCTGAGTGAATACGTCATATTACGCAGGTGAATACGAGGTAGTCACAATATCATATTTCAATGCGGAATATGCCATACTCACTTGCGGAATATATCATATACCGCAGTTGAGTATGCCATATTCACTTGTATCACAAATACCGTGCAACCATAAATGTATGCTATATACCGTGTAACAAAGAGAATGTGTTTTGCGATTACTTAGCCATAAACTGTTTTTCTTTCCCTTTAAAGATTCATAACATTGTCAATAGCGAGATAATGTTATTGTTATGAAGTGAAAAGTCAAAATCTTACTAACGGAAATCTAAGTTAGCATTCGAAGAGGATTTAAAAGTATTTAAAATCGAATCCATTGAATAATTTGAAATAATTATGATATTTACACACCGACGTCAGATAACACAATTACGGTTTATGATCAATGATTTTATCAACCAAAAAATATGAAATATTTTTATGAATTTGTCCGATATCTGCTTAACCTCTTGAATACCCAGACTGACGGATATATCTGTCACAAATAAAATCCATTTGGAACCCAGAGCGACAGATATATCTGTCACAGAATTTTTCACTTAAACTGCTCTAACTTTGGCATTTTTTATCCAATCTTCACAAATTATGTTTTAGAATGTATGTAATGGGTCTATGTTTACTATTCTTATGAAATCAAATATCATACATTGTGTTTTTAGATCTTAATATCCAGAAAACTAGCAGAAAATGAAAAATGCTCTGGTATTCAAGAGGTTAAATGGTACGTATACTTGTGAGTAGTGTATATTGTTAAATTACAAAATGTGTAGAATAGGGTAAATAATTTATCCGATTGGGTTACCATTATTTGAAAAAATCATGTTGATACATTAATTACGTATCTTTTATATTTTCGGAAAAAATAACCTAAAGTTTATAACTTAGAATCCATGGTTTTCTGTAATATTATCTACATCATCAAATTGTGAAAATGGGATTTAGTTTTAGTAGGGATTTAGTTGGGATGTTACTAACTTTTTGACCCCTGCTAATGACAGATATAATTGACGACTATGGAGTGACTAACGAGAATCAATACTAACGAAGTTCAAAAAGACATATCCCCCTTATTTGGTGGACCCTAGCAAAGTGTAATCCCATGCTTCTTAGACCATGTAGAACCATGGTTTAACTTTTAACGGGGGATCCGGGAAGGAAACCTAATGGTTAATTGTAAACAGTGGTCGGGTGACAAGATAAATGATCAATGCTTGGTCTGTGGAGAGGCTACTGAAGACTTAGTTCAAATGGTACTAGAATGTCCGGGACATAAGGCAAAAGGGAAGAATATTGACGATATACTCAGTCAGATGTACCTTGATACCCATCTCCCACCAACGTGTTGATACCAATTTTATTTGGTGAAAATAATGTATGAACAAGGGATCAATATATTAGGTAGCTTTGTCAAGAAATGAAATATATGTGGCAAGACCCAATGCAGAGTATTAATTTAATGCACCCTTGATATATATTTTTAAACGCTGTAGAATTCAAAATAACTTATTGAACAGGTATGTTGTAAATCGACGGCGTCAACGCGGTAGCCTGACGTCCGTCAATAGCAAAGATTAGCTGTGCATAAACAGTCTTGTTTTTTGTATGTAACAGGTATGTTAAATCGCCTGCGTCAACGCGGTAGCCTGTCGTTCGGCAATAGTAAGGTTTGGTTGTACATATCCTTTTTTCCTTTTTCCTTATTGTATGTATAAGTTTCGATGTAAACAGACGGTGTCAACGCGGTAGCCTGGCGTCCGTCAACATCAAAGATTGGTTGCACGTAAACATTTACTTTTTTCTTATTGTATATATCAAATAATTGTACCCATTATGCAATATAATATGTACTACATGTAAACACACCAATTTTGGTGGATAGAATAAACATAGTAATAATACGGAAAATATGTAAGTACATGTATAATGTGCTGTGTATGTTTATTATACTTTCGTCTTGTAGTTCAAATGTCGCAGCGCTATAGCGTGTTTCCAGCCCCTTTATTTAGACGTGTTAGATATTCCATTACATTAACTAATAATTAGAGTATCACCATTATCAGCTCGTATACTACAAATGTAACTGAACATATACGACAGGAGGTCCATAAGTAATGGATGCTTTTCTGGTTAGCATATCAATCGATTTGTTGTTTTCATCACAGAGACATCACTCGATTTAAGAAATATAGACAGAAGAGCAGGTATCATGTACAAACGTTTTCTGTACCCCCAAACGACCGTTTGCCTAGCCCTAAATTATTTATTACGCGATATACAATACCTGTTCTAAGGTCTATATTACGATTCGAACAAGAATTAAAACTACCAAAATTTTGCTAAATCGTCACTTAATTAGCTCTTTCCGGTTTAGCGTTTAACTGAACGAAATACCTCGCACAGACCATGTATTGTATCGACGAATTAGTCAAAGGATCTAAAATTAGGATCATTGACTTTTTCAACCCGTATAATGGTATTGTACATAGTTCAAGTAGCAAAAGTCACGATGGTCCGGTGTAAAAGGGTAGGAGGTCCTATTAATCTATGGTCCTACTCTCCATTGATGTACGTATATGCTGACCTCTTTCCCTTATTATCTTATACATAATCAGGGCCAGTAAGGGCATTTAAAAGGGCCATGATATCTTTCACACCGGTGTAAAGGGGTAAGAGGTCCTATCAAATTTTGGTCCTTCTTTTTATTGATTTATATGGTGGCCTAATTACAATTATTTTATATATTATTTATACACAGTCGGGGCCAGTAAGGGCCGTAAGGAAAGGGGACCATAATTCCCAGGGGACCATCATTTCTTTTACACCGGCATAAATATTCCATGCCCGGGATGCTATGATAATTCCTACGGATACAGAAACCCGAACAGTTCTGATTTTTTGGTGCAGGGGCATTAAGTTCAAATGAAGTAAAGTAATCCTAGCTTTCTGATAATTTTCTCCAAAAAGATCAAAATTGTCGAGCAACTCTGTAACATAACACTTTTATTAGGCAGCATGGACGGTAGTTCAAAAGTTTAAATGCAACCAAAATATGTACAGCATAAGTCCATAAGGCATCGGATAATATATGACGTAATCATTTGTCCAAAATTAGCTAAGTATTCATTTTTTAAAATGAGGGCATTATTAAAGATATCTCGCATATTTATTTTTTATATTTTCAAAATTATTTGATAATTAAATAACGATGTTACTGGTTAAAATTTGAACGAAATTCGATTAATACGACGACATGTACGATTGAGCATAAACCCATTCATAATCACTTATTGAAACGCCACGTATATTATAATTATAAAAAACGAGCAAATTAGGTAATGGATTGCGATTACAAATTCTGTACAATTTATTATTATCATGTCTCGCACTAAAGCTGTCATCATTCTGGATGCTGTTTAAACGCCCACGATGTTTGGTACGTCCGCAGTATACACTGCTCTCCTGGTACTTTGGTGTTATTTTGGTAAGTTAAGTTTACTCATTAATAATCTGTGTCATCGATTACTAAAATACAATTATAGAGTATATAGTTTAAAAACCGTACAGCCAACATCGGTCAAGAAATATCACTGGTACAAAAGTGAATCGACATACTAAAATAATGCATTCTATATGACGTATAGTTTGAGCTCTCTTATACCTAGGTCACATGAGTAGTCATCGGCCGATTTCTAAATCGACCGGGCGCCGGTGACATTTCACCGATGTCTTGATCTAATCCTGAGTATGGTCACATTAGTACAGGCACCGTACGGCTCCCGCAATTAATTGAATCTGAAAGACATCGCATGAGTATCGCAAGGCTATCTACCGATGGCCGTACGGCACCCGCCAGGACATCGGTCGATCTACAGGACTCTAAATTTATATTTAATCCCTGTGACCCAGTATGACTGTTCTACGTGGCGAGAATGCAACATTTGAAAATAAAATACTTTGATAGACATTCAGAAGAATTTTTAAAATAAATGATTTGTAATGGTACTGTATATGGATGAGTAAATATACGCATAAAAATGTATCACTCTATTCAATGTGTATGACAGACATACACGATTAATGTCAATATAAGCTAAGAATGACTAGATCAACTCACCCACCCAACCATTCAAATGTGTGTCATTGTTTTACAATAACCTTAATCGTTCCATTTATGTTTTATAAAAAAATGTCTGTGTTGTAATTATAATTCCTTACCTCATTATTTTTAAAACCTTTAAGAACCTATATCACTTTATAATTAATCATTATTAAGATTTATCAATCAAATCAGTCCGCAAAATCCCAAGATGACCGTTCGATGCCACCGGGCGCCGCAAGATAATCGTACGATGACCGCACGGGACACGGCCGGTAGGTACCGATGGGTTTGGTTGAGAAAAATCTCCAAAACATCGGCAACTTTTATCTCCGCGATGAAACTCTGCCGGCGCCCGTATACGTACGATGTCTAAAAACCGGCCGATGATGGGCGATCATCGCCCGGCGCCCGTACGATGCCGGGGCTCGCCGGGGCTCGCCGGCAGATTTTGAACAAAATACTCATCGGCCGAGCGCCGTCGTGAAAATCGGAACCTATGTGACCAAGGCATTAATGACGAAAAAGTTTGAACACTCATTTCCTTCCTTCCTCGATTTTTTCAATATTTCTTTCTGTTAATTGTTTTTGCCTCCGACATTTTTCTAGCTTGAGGCAGAGATATATTATAATTTTTGCGTAAAAATCAAGACGACCGGGGGAAGAGGAGCTTATATACATGTATGGTTACCTTGTTTCTAATACTGTAGAAAATGTAAAATAAATTGTTACTGAATACATACGTAGTTAGGCAAGTTAATAGAATAATACTCTCTAAACCATTCTTTTGCTAAATTCTCCCTTATCCCATTCTTTCAATTTTACTCTTTCGATTTAAATTCCATTGATATGTGGTCGCTAGGCAAAATCGTAGGCAGAAATTATATGTTTAAAAATACCAAGTCATATATTTACGAGTATATAATGTATATTTCTAACTAAATCACTGATTGTTATTTGTACATGTAGTACACCTTGAAATATGAATGTTAAAGATAAAATGTTAAACTTAAAAATGTTGATTATTCAATTATAAGCGATTCATTCATTTCAATGGATTTTTGCGATACCTGCTATCTTTGAAATTGCATAATTTTAGTTCTAGATAAGCATTCACCTTTATTTCGTAATCTATTGAAAGATAATACATTTTTATGATACACATATTTTTGTCGCCAAAAAAGATTATTTCGAAAGACAATTGGGAATTGTTCACGAAACGTCAAAAGAGTTCACCCTAGATCACGTTTACCTCGATTTCAGCCTCTGTTGACCTATTTTTCTGAAAAGTCAAAATGTTTCTGAAGAGGTAATTAGATAAGGTTTACAACAATACCAACATTATTGAAATCAGACAAGTAACCCCTCCTTCCCGACCAATGCGACTAAGGGTTACAAATAAAAGATTACAGACGTTAAGTTAGTACGTATTAAATTAAATTTAATTTGCTGAAGATTTTCTGATTTTCGTAAATATATTTTCATCACATTTATCATAATTGTTGTCTTCATTCTGTTATTCACCGTAACACCTGCCTCATCGAACAGCAACCACCACTTTTTAATTGATTTTTGACCAAAATGTATTGTTATTTGTTTACAATAAATCTCCTTTGCATACATCAAAAGTTGGCAACGCCCCTGCTATGTTATACGTGTATAATTAATAGACATATCAGTTCCAAATTAAATAGAGTAAAGGCAATACTATTTTGCGTGAGAAAGGGGGATAATATTATACGATACTGATTAAAGATTTTTGATGTGATTAGAAACATACGTGACATCTACTTAGCATATTGATAAATCCATTTAACTAATGAGATATATAGACTCCTTTTTTATGAACAACACATTTTAATCAATATTTTCTGCTATCCGTTATCCGTTCGGAAATTTGAATCTTGATTTAAAGCTGTTATCTGTTTTTGATAATTAGCAATGGCATTCCAAGGTATTTGGTGTTATATTTCAATTATAAGAAACTTTGTTTGATTAAACTCGTCACGAAGAAAGTTAATAAATGATAAAAACTTATTTCAAAAAGGAGTGGTATCGATATGGTTAACTTTTTGAACACGCGTTTCTCTTAACCCAGTCATCAACACATTCTGAAAGTTTTACACATCGTCAATTTAATGGTCATCTTTTGGATGGTAACATTATTATAAGAATTATATTTTTTTCTCTGTATTGTTTTGGAAAACACATCAGACATTTCTTTCGTTCTTGGTGTTACGCGGAATATGGCATACATTCATGGTTGCGCGGTATTGGTGATACGGGTGAATATGCCATACTCACCTGCGGTATATGGCATATTCCGCAGGTGAGTATGCAATATTCCGCAGTGAATATGCGATACATTGATTTCAGTGAATACCCAATACTCACCTGCAGAATATGCAGAATATGACAGCAGGTGAATATGACATATTCCGCAGGTGAAAACGTGATACAGAAAGACTTGGTTTGATTGGTTGCGAGAATCGACTCTAAATATAAAACTACGCTGGATTACCAATATTGTTGGTGCGTCGAGTACTAATATATGAATCCAGGATTGATTTGGTAAGTTTATAATGTGAGATTGGTGAGTGATACTTCTGCATACGTTGATTTATTCGATAAACTGTACTGTTGATTCAGTAATCATTATAATAATTTATAAAGTTTTACTTATTCGTTCAATCGATGCAATTGACAATTGCGTAACTCCGTATCACGTTCTCATTGGTTAGTGTGTATGCCATATTCCGCAGGTGAATCTGTCATACACCGCAAGGGAATATGCCATATTCGTTGCGGAAAATGGCATATTTTTGTATCGTGTTTACCGCGTAACACTTGGTTCTCTCCCCTCAATAAATTGGGCAACCTTTGCTCCCCCGTTGAACTACGTGTTAAAGCCTCTTTACTTTTGAATTTTTATTTACTTAACCTGCGGTGAAATTACTTTTACTATTAATGGAAACGTAATTTGACTTTATTTCCAATACCTCCAAATTTTCTCAATTTTTTCCTCAATTACAATAGGTCGAAATTGATGATAAATTGGCGGGTTCGGGGCAAATCAGAAATCAGGATATCTATTCAGTAAAATATTTAGCAAAAATGTATGTATATATAGAAAATTGAATTGAAACTTTTTTTGTACATTAGGTGTTTAGTTTACTTGATGAATACTAAAGCTTCAGAGCTTCAAAGTCATTTTTGAAAAGAATTATTTCGCCTCCTGTGTTATTTCAATGGGAGAGACTTTTTGAAAAACAATTTTGAATTAAAAACCTATAACTTTGTTGAACCCGAAGACACATATCAATTTTTGGGTTAAATAAAGCTAGCAAATTCAATTGCCTACCCAATTTGTATTTTTTGCAATGACTCGGATTGATTGATCTTCTGCCATATGACTTGCCGTAAACCTACCGTTTCCCATTGGTTAACATGGGACTGACGATTTTCAAAAATTCATCAAAATCATCAAATTTTGACCAATTGTAATTGAGGAAAAAAATAAGAAAATTACGTTTTCATCAACAGTATAAGTATTTCAATCGCAGGTTAAGTAAATGAAAATTCAAAGTTAAATATGCTTTAACACGAAGTTCAATAAGGGAGCAAAGGTTGCCAAACTTATGGAGGGGGTGTATCATATGTTCAGAATAAAATGAAACATCTATCTGAACCTTATTGAAACAAAACGACATAAACACAACGTGATTAGGTCTTTCAATATTGTAATTGTTCAAAGGAAAGTTTGGTTGATTTAAAAAAAAGAGTATTGTTAATGACATACAAGGTTTATCTTAATTTATCTATTTTGGGGGATTTTGTTTTAAGTTATTGCATACTTTTTGTTAAATCAACCAAAAGTTCCTTTGTATAACTTTAATATTGAGAAGATGTTCTATGTGCTATGTTGTTACAACAAGGTTCGGAGAGACAGTTTATTTCATTCTCAAGAATTGGTAGAAATGAACAAAAACAATTTAATTGCACTAAAAAACAAAAAAACGATAACAAAAACAGTTATATAAAATATATATAAACTAATTTTTGCATCAAATTGTTGCCAATCAGTCAACATTACATCAAGGACCGTGTTTTTACAGAATGTTTTCAATAATTGGTTTCAGAGAAAAACATTGTTTAATTCAGTTCACAATATCGATACCTATCCATTAGTGGGGCCATTAAAAATAGCAATATGCTTGTTTCTTCAATGCATAATATACGAACAGTTGAAGTCCAATGACCGATTCTTTAAAATGAAATCTTTCATCCATTCTAAATCCTTCGATTAAATGTCAAGTTAAACTGTAATCAAAGAATCAATGCAAGACAAATTATGCGTACACATTATCATCACGATCAGTTATACTTATGTAATCAGTCGGTAATATTATACCAATGATAGGGCCAATGACTTTGCTATGTTAAGCAATAGTATTGATTTGAATTTTAAATTCAACAGGCCGTCTAGAATGATTGCATTAAATTGTTTATTGGAAACACATTGTAACACATCTGTACATTAAGAGTACAACATTTTATCAGTCAAACAAAATTGTAAAAATAACGAAAATGCATCATACAGGATCATGGCTCAGCCTGTACCAACAGGAAAATGGTACAATGACAAAAAAGATATAGTTTTATGTACTGTTTAAACAATTGTATTGAACTGGTGCTTTTGAAGTTGGTAAGTGAACATTATAAATAATCGATTCATTTTTTTCTTTAAGTTCCTATCATCAATGATCCAGCCGTCAATAAGGAATCTAGTGCAACTGAGACCACTTCATATATGTCCCAGGCATTTTCACCGAGTGGAATAAGTTATAAAACTTTGATTACAACCAGAAAATCTCCAGTTATTAGAACAGAATCATATAATAGTCCAGAGCCTACCCAGGTATTTTCATTGACTACGACAAGAAAAAAGACCTTATTTACAACAGGCAAAGATCCGGTCATCAACACCGAATCCCAAACAGCAGATTTGCCTCCAGAGTCTCACAGGATATCGTCAACAAATACGAGAGATAAGACCGTATTTACAACAAGCGATGATCCATCATTCAACACTGAATCCGCAACAGAAGACTTGACTCAAGAGGATATTAGGATATCGTCAACAAATTCGACAAGAAATGACATCTTAATTACAACAAGCGATGATCCATCCATCGACACTGTTTTTACTCAAATAGCAGATTTGCCTCCAGAGGCTACCAGGACATCGTCAACGAATACGACAATAGAGAACACTTTATTTACCGCAAGCAATGATCCAGCAATCAACACTGAATCCCCAACAGCAGGTTTGATTTCAGAGGCTACCAGGATATCTACATCAAAAACTACAAGAGTTATTACCAGATCTACAACAAGCAAAGCTCCAACCATAAAGACGCAATCTTCTACTGAAAGTCAGACTCGAAAGGCTATCCAGATGTCAACAACAAATACGTCATCCGATACGAGTAATGACTCGACCATCAACAAGGAATCTTCCACAGAAAATTTGACTACAGAGGCTACTGGGATATTATCAACAAAGATGTCAATATATAATGCCTTATTTACCACAAGCGATGATGAAGCTATCAACAGGAATTCCTCTTCACCTAATCTGACTCCAGAGGCTACCCGTATATCCACAACGACAGTAGATGAAATCGTTTCTGCAAAAAGCAGTGATTCGGTCACCAACAGGAACTCTCCAACAGCAATATTTTCTACAATTGGTACATCAACTGTTCAAACACCAACAAGAATTCCTGCAAGCGGCATTGAAAAAATGTATCCACAAACCATATCAAATAAGTGTGGATTGACAAGGAACTACATGTATTTAGGTAAGTGTTACGCGGAATATGACATACATTCATGGTTGCACGGTATTTGTGATACGGGTGAATATGCCATACTCACCTGGTGAATATGACATTACGATATCTTAATACAAATCTTAGCTTTTTTATATGAAATAAAGTAATTTTAGATACACGGTGCCTCAAAATGCAATAAATTCATTTTTGAAGTACTCCCATGATGGTAGAAAATTGAAAAAATACGCCTTGGCATCCCTTTGAGGAAAACCGACAACGAGTTTAAAAAATACGATTATTCTGTTCTTTTATGTCTCCAATAAGCATAACGTTCATCGGTTTTCATTTTCTTATTTTAATATGTTAGGTATGTTTGTTCATTCGGGGTCATTAATATCAACTATTTTCACTTAATGTTTGTTCATTCAGGGTCATTAATTTCAACTATTTTCACTTAAAGTGTTTGTTCATTCAGGATCATTAATGTCAACTATTTTCACTTAATGTTTGTTCATTCAGGGTCATTAATGTCAACTATTTTCACTTAATATTTGTTCATTCAGGGTCATTAATGTCAACTATTTTCACTTAATATTTGTTCATTCAGGGTCATTAATGTCAACTATTTTCACTTAATGTTTGTTCATTCAGGGTCATTAATGTCAACTATTTTCATATAATGTTTGTTCATTCAGGGTCATTAATGTCAACCATTTTCACTTAATATTTGTTCATTCAGGGTCATTAATGTCAACTATTTTCACTTAAAATGTTTGTTCATTCAGGGTCATTAATGTCAACTATTTTCACTTAAAATGTTTGTTCATTCAGGGTCATTAATGTCAACTATTTTCACTTGAAATGTTTGTTCATTCAGGGTCATTAATGTCAACTATTTTCACTTGAAATGTTTGTTCATTTAGGGTCATTAATGTCAACTATTTTTCACTTAAAATGTTTGTTTATTCAGGGTCATCAATGTCAACTATTTTCACTTAACTTGTATGATAATCGTATCACCTTTTATAATTAGTTTCGCTGTAATCATTTCATGTGCTTCATGACCTCTTTTGTTTTACAAAAGAGATATGTAATAACAGTAAATCACAATTTTGGTCGGTATTGAATTTTTATTGATTCAGCCCAAGATCCATAGTAGTTATATAGTACATATATTAAATTTATTTCCATATACCACCCTGTATAACCCGTTCTAAATTAGGTTGTGGACACACATTCTGTTTAAATGGGAGTTATGGGTGTTTCGCCTCACCTGGATACGATAAGTGTGGCTAACATATATATAACATATAATGAACTTCTTCACCTATCTGCTATTAGGTTGTGGACACACATTCTGTTTAAATGGGAGTTATGGGTGTTTCGCCTCACCTGGATACGATAAGTGTGGCTAAAATATATATAACATATAATGAACTTCTTCACCTATCTGCTATTAGGTTGTGGACACACATTCTGTTTAAATGGGAGTTATGGGTGTTTCGCCTCACCTGGATACGATAAGTATGGCTAACATATATATAACATATAATGAACTTCTTCACCTATCTGTTATTAGGTTGTGGACACACATTCTGTTTAAATGGGAGTTATGGGTGTTTCGCCTCACCTGGATACGATAAGTATGGCTAACATATATATAACATATAATGAATTTCTTCACCTATCTGCTATTAGGTTGTGGACACACATTCTGTTTAAATGGGAGTTATGGGTGTTTCGCCTCACCTGGATACGATAATTGTGGCTAACATATATATAACATATAATGAACTTCTTCACCTATCTGCTATTAGGTTGTGGACACACATTCTGTTTAAATGGGAGTTATGGGTGTTTCGCCTCACCTGGATACGATAATTGTGGCTATGGACATAATCAAACCCTTTCCTGGTTGATCAGCGTTGATTCAAATCAGGTAAGTTGCTAAGTATTCCACAATATATCGGGTGGGTCAAACAAACGTAAATGAAATAGGAATATGAAATTCTTATATTCAATACTGCACACTGCACAAAGTTAATATTTAATTGGATGTGCGGTCACAGAATATGAACTCACAATATTAGCCGGGGGTTCTAAAAAAGGTATTGCTACTCACGCTAAGCCTAAAAGTATGCATGCAAGTGTCTACCAGAGGTTTTTAAAGACCTTTCATCAAGGAGTTAAACAGGTTGGTCCTTTAATGAACAGTAAACTGTTCCAAACAAAAAAATGTCTATCAATTCTCTTTGATGTATTCTATTTTTAAGTAGCTATACACTTCACCACGAGGAAAAATTAATATTGTCGGTTATTGTTTTTTTGTCAATCGATTCATATGTTTTGAACACCGTCTCGCTTTCCACGGGTAAAAGAAAAAGAACGTTAATTAGATATTATCATTCAGTTTTAAACAGCTTTTAAACAAAAACGTGCATTATTCACTTTATTATTTTTTTACTTTTTTCAATTTATGTTTTTTAATTGTTTTTGATTTTACATCACCAGAAAATGTGATAATGACCACATAGAAAAATATAAAAACTGAAAATAGAGTTTATTACCTAATCCGGCGACCTATTTTTTAATTTTACCCGACAATGTAAGGTTCCTAATGAAATCTATGATACGAAATAATATTATAAGTTATTGAATGATTTGAAGTGCAATGTAGGATATATTCTGCTCGAGAAACTCCGTATTCGAACGAGACGATATAACGTTTTTATCGTGTGATCCTCTGTATTGCTACTGACAATGTCCCCTCCACACCAATAGTTTCTGTATTGAGACGAGATGATCAACGGGGACAATCTCAGTAGCAGCACAAGAACTGACCAATCAGAAGGTTTTATTTTACAGATCATACAATGATTGTGTATATTTTGTACATACGAGGGGTGATCAATAAGTATATCAATTTCTTTTGAAAATATTTTTAAATGATTTTTGAAAATCGCCCCTTGCAAAAATCCTCCATAACTTCAGAGAAGACCAAACGATTGCTTTAAAACAGGAGTTATTAAAATAATCTCAATAAAAAAAGACAAAATTATAGTTTTGTAGCAGGACACATATTTTCGACATTTAAAGGTGCAACAATCAGTCCAACGATCATAATGGACCGGAGTCAAAATATATTTAAGTTTGGATATTTCATCAAGTCTAACATATATTTTTTCATTATCTACAAAGAACACCCTGGATGAATATTGTTTTCGCTGATATTTCTCTTAAAACGTAATGGATCTTAAAATTATATAAGTGGGACTCCCATTATAGAAGATTCGAATTGAAAACCCTTCTTAATGCTGAAATTGATAGTGTATCAATACATTTAAAAAAAACATGTATGTCAGAGAAAACGTTGCCCCGATTGTGGAAAAAAATATTTCGAATTTTCTCATTACAGGCCTTGTTTTCATTCACACACGTACTTGTTCTACCTAGTGTCACACAAAGAATTACACTTGACACGAATCAGTTTGCAAAAATCCAAAGCAATGTTGAAATGTCACACGGATTGTGTTATAAGTGGCATACAATACCAAAAGAATTACACACAGATCAAATTAAAAATTTCGAACGTACGTGTCAATTTCACAGACGCATTGAGTTCAAACTCGCAAATGATGGTTCCCGCTCGCAGGCCTGTCAACTGTCCCGCAATTTGCGTATTTGTCACTCATTTGCTGAAGAATTTGAAGTCACGCCAGTTATTTTTGCGTGACAGAAAATGTCACGCGAATACGCATTTTATCTGGTAATTGTCAAGCAAAAATATTTCTGTAGAAAAATTTCTAAAAAAGTTCGTCTACACAGCAAAAATACGAACGACGAAAAAAAATACGCATTTCGTTCGGACTTTTCACGCGAATTACGTATATGTCACGCATTCCGTTCGAAATTTTTCGTACATTTACAACCAAGTCTTTACAATACGGCGCCCTACATAAAAAGTCACGAGTCAAACAGGATTTTAAAAAATCTCGAACATCTCTAGAAACAAATTTATGTTACATCAAGGTATGTGATCTTCACATCATAGTTTGTGAGCGGAAAAATGTTTGTTCGAGCCGTATAAGCATCGACTCGGTTCACTGTCATTTGTCCAGTTTAACACCATAAGTTCTACCCGTTCTGGCGAGTAATAAGTCTAAGTCATCAAATAATTACTTAATATGGAAATCCAAGATGGCTACCAAAATGGGTGCCAAATCAAACATGTAACTATTGATATAAGCTCAAAAGCTCAAAGGGCGGTTATGAGAACCAAATATGTCTTTATTGAATGATTAATAAATATATTACTTCCAACGTGGTGACTTTTGTCGTCACGTTACGGAACAGTTATGTTTCTAAAGAGCTTCCTTATATGTAATTATTTGTCATATCATTTTTAGCTGAATGAAATATGTCACCAGCGTCTCGCTTTAACACGTGGTGTGCCCTGAGAAATAAATATAATTTGCAAAATGTTCCTGAACTGATACGGCCTGATGACCAAAAAGCTTATAGTCCTGATGCAATCCCCATTGAGTATAGGGTAAGGGAAGGACTCAGGGAGATGGTATGAAGGCACCCAATCTAAAACTTGCCCAACTAAAGCTGGCAATTAAGACAGGTTGACAGAAACATAGCCAACATTTTACTAATACTGCTATATCAGCAAGGCAACTAATGAACTAAGACTAAAATCTATCATCAAAGAGGGTGGCGGACCAATTGAACTCCTCTCTTAGGTCAAAAATAATCCAAGTTGAAGGACTTGATACATTATATTATTACTAAGAACCCCTGACACTATATAATTGCAAAAATTGGGGTAAGTAGGTGGGAAAATAAAAAAGTTATTGTATTGTATTTTGTTTACCACCAATGAAGGTGAGCAATACCTCTTGGGTATGCCCCGTATATATACGGTCGTAATTTACGTAATTAACATGGAAGATAGACCCAGAAACCCCTCCTTGAAGGAGCCCTGTGTTCTTTTATGTGCACTTATACATAGACATATAAGTACACACCACAGCCTTTTTGTACGAGTTGCGGACCACTCAGTCAAACACCCTGAAGTACTTCACGCAAACAAGCAAATTTAGTCTTGCCTGAACCGGGGATCGAATCCGGGACCTATTGCGTAAGAGGTACCTGCGCTACCGCTGAGCTACACGGGTGGACTATAGTGTCTTGAAAAAAGTTATATTGTCTTTTTTGGCCCACCCTGTACACGTATATATACACACTCTTGTTATGTTCATTATGCCATATTTGTATATACTACTTTGCCCATTTATTGTTATATTTGATTGATTAGCATCACTATATTTCAGATTGTTAACTTAACATTCCATGATTTTGAACTCGAGATTGAAGCAGAGTGTGAATATGACACAACGAGAAACACTATATAATAAACATCAATACGACGAGATAATAGATTTATTATCCAAATTGAATAATAACTGATAAGATCAGGTACTGTTGAATAACATTCTGCCCGGGATTTGTTATTAATCATATAGAAATGTCTTATCCGAACAGCTTACATGTACGTATTATCCGTTGCGGCCATTAACAATTTTACATATCTAATTAGCTAAGTAAATAAACATGCGTCGACACAGTCGCAGTTGACTATGAAAAGTTCAATCATCAATCTTATTTTTATTTTCTTGATTTAAAGATTTATTATGTTTAAAAAAGAAAATGTTTGATTTTTAAGTTCAACCTTTAATTCTTATTATCAAGAACGCGCATGCAAATTCGCCAACCATGTACATTGTTTGCAGTCTGCGCAATTTAATGTAAATCATTGTACATTTTTCGATATACTGTAATACTATTCATTATTTGTAAAATTGAACCGAATATAATCTAAAATTAATCAGCTTTAAATATAATGATTATATGTCATAAAAGTTGCCTTAAAACAATACAATTCGTGCGTTTGTAAATGCTCTAAAGCCCCGCTAGTATATGAACGAAGCCTAAATAGAAATGAGTTAAATTCGTTCTCATTAGTGTGTACACGTTCTACACCGAGACTTCTCCTTTAAATCAAATCAAACTAGTATGAGTTAAGAATGGACAGAGGGACGGATGGCTTCATTCAATGGGATAATTAAGATATTTCAAACCAGTGTCATTCTTCTATGCATACATCACTCCAATCATAACATAAAACAAGCTGTTTATTTTAAAACTATTCTTTACGAATTTATGATAAGTGTATAATATTCAATCATACAAATCGCAGTCAGTGATTGTTCTCCACACTCACCCCTCCCCCTTTCTGACATGAACTATTTTGTAAAACCATTGACAGTGTGGAAAGGATTCTTACACTCGAGTGTCAAGGGGGGGGGGGCAGTTACAGAAATATACAAGGTGATGGTTCAAATTGGACAATTTTCAAAACTGCTCAACATGGTGAAAACTTCACGTTTTTAAAGAATACTTGCCCGGCGAGTGGTTTGCTCTGGATTGCGAGAGAACAAAAACTTTGAGTTAGGATTTTTCCTAATACTATCATTAATCTAAACAACTTTTTAAACCGTCTCTGACTACATATCATGCCAATTAATACCATTATTGTGTTGACAGGATTAACTATGTGTTAACTATATTAACTATGGAATTATAATTTAATGAGCTCAATAGTCTAAATGATAATAAGTTCATAATTTAGTCTTGGCTGACTAGTCTTGCATCATCAGAGTTGGATTGCAAATACCTCCCTAAATCAAATATTTAAAATTTACAAATTTACTAGTGTACGGGGTGGGGAAACAAGTCTCAATCCAACCACTAAAGTTTAAAAGGAAGACTATCGTGTCCCGTGAATTCATTATAATTATCTTAGACAATAGTGAAGCGGTACAATCATTGGAGTGTTAATTAATCGGAATGCAAGTTTGATTTAAAATAACTCCTTTGGATCAAATATTTAAATTCTACTAGAATGCGGGGAGTGGAAACAAGTCTCCATTCAAGCACTACCCAGCTAACAATTTTACGTTGTGATAACGTCGTCAGAATATATGTCTCAAGTTGTAGCAACGTTAAATATGGAACGTTGTAGGTACAGGAAGGTGTGGACTCGCACAGATGTTTAAAGAACGTTACATTTGACTTAAATATCACGTGTCAGGAACGTAGTAGCGACCTTAACAATTACGTCGCCAAAATAACGAAACTGTAACGTACTTACATTACGTCATATATATGTGGCCAATCTAAATTTCTGGTAACGTTGATATGGAACGTTGTAGGTACAGGAAGGTGTGGACTCGCATAGATGTTTAAAGAACGTTACATTTGACTTAAATATCACGTGTCAGGAACGTAGTAGCGACCTTAACAATTACGTCACCAAAATAACGAAAATGTAACGTACTTGCATTACGTCATAAATACGTGGCCAATCTAAATTTCTGGTAACGTTGATATGGAACGTTGTAGGTACAGGAAGGTGTGGACTCGCACAGATGTTTAAAGAACGTTACATTTGACTTACATATCACGTGTCAGGAACGTAGTAGCGACCTTAACAATAACGTTGCCAAAATAACGAAACTGTCACGTACTTACATTACGTCATATATACGTGGCCAATCTAAATTTCTGGTAACGTTGATATGGAACGTTGTAGGTACAGGAAGGTGTGGACTCGCATAGATGTTTAAAGAACGTTACATTTGACTTAAATATCACGTGTCAGGAACGTAGTAGCGACCTTAACAATTACGTCACCAAAATAACGAAAATGTAATGTACTTACATTACGTCATAAATACGTGGCCAATCTAAATTTCTGGTAACGTTGATATGGAACGTTGTAGGTACAGGAAGGTGTGGACTCGCACAGATGTTTAAAGAACGTTACATTTGACTTAAATATCACGTGCCAGGAACGTAGAACCAACCTAAACGATGACTTCGCCAAAATAACGAAAATGTAACGTACTTACATTACGTCATAAATACGTGGCCAATCTAAATTTCTGGTAACGTTGATATGGAACGTTGTAGGTACAGGAAGGTGTGGACTCGCACAGATGTTTAAAGAACGTTACATTTGACTTAAATATCACGTGTCAGGAACGTAGTAGCGACCTTAACAATTACGTCGCCAAAATAACGAAACTGTAACGTACTTACATTACGTCATATATACGTGGCCAATCTAAATTTCTGGTAACGTTGATATGGAACGTTGTAGGTACAGGAAGGTGTGGACTCGCATAGATGTTTAAAGAACGTTACATTTGACTTAAATATCACGTGTAAGGAACATAGTAGCGACCTTAACAATTACGTCACCAAAATAACGAAAATGTAACGTACTCACATTACGTCATATACGTGGCCAATCTAAATTTCTGGTAACGTTGATATGGAACGTTGTAGGTACAGGAAGGTGTGGACTCGCACAGATGTTTAAAGAACGTTACATTTGACTTAAATATCACGTGCTAGGAACGTAGAACCAACCTAAACGATGACTTCGCCAAAATAACGAAAATGTAACGTACTTACATTACGTCATAAATACGTGGCCAATCTAAATTTCTGGTAACGTTGATATGGAACGTTGTAGGTACAGGAAGGTGTGGACTCGCACAGATGTTTAAAGAACGTTACATTTGACTTAAATATCACGTGTCAGGAACGTAGTAGCGACCTTAACAATTACGTCGCCAAAATAACGAAACTGTAACGTACTTACATTACGTCATATATACGTGGCCAATCTAAATTTCTGGTAACGTTGATATGGAACGTTGTAGGTACAGGAAGGTGTGGACTCGCATAGATGTTTAAAGAACGTTACATTTGACTTAAATATCACGTGTAAGGAACATAGTAGCGACCTTAACAATTACGTCACCAAAATAACGAAAATGTAACGTACTCACATTACGTCATATATACGTGGCCAATCTAAATTTCTGGTAACGTTGATATGGAACGTTGTAGGTACAGGAAGGTGTGGACTCGCACAGATGTTTAAAGAACGTTACATTTGACTTAAATATCACGTGCCAGGAACGTGGAACCAACCTAGACGATGACTTCGCCAAAATAACGAAAATGTAACGTACTTACATTACGTCATAAATACGTGGCCAATCTAAATTTCTGATACGTTAATTATGGAACGTTGTAGGTACAGGAAGTTGTGGACTCGCACAGATGTTCAAAGAACGTTACATTTGACTTAAATATCACGTGCCAGGAACGTAGAACCAACCTAAACGATAACTTCGCAAAAATAACGAGACTGTAATGTGCTTATGCAACGTCACATATACGTGGCCAGTTTTAAGTTCTGGTACGTTAATTATGGAACGTTGTAGGTACAGGAAGGTGTGGACTCGCACAGATGTTTAAAGAACGTTACATTTGACTTAAACATTACGTGCCAGGAATGTAGAACCAACCTTAACAATGACTTCGCAAAAATAGTGAAACTGTAATGTGCTTATGCAACGTAACATATACCTGGCCAGTTTAAAGTTCTGGTAACGTTTGTCTTGGACCGATATAGGCACAGGAAGGTCTGGACTCGCACAGATGTTTATACAACGTTACATTTTACTTAAATATCATGTGCTAGGAATGTAGTAGCAACCTTACAATGACTGCAAAAATAAAATAACAGACTGTAACGTGCTAATGCAACGTCACATATACGTGGCCAAGTTAAAGTTCTGGTAACATTAACTATAGAACGTTGTAGGCAAAGGAAAGTGTGGACACGCATAAATGAGTATACAAGTTACGTTCGACTTAGATATCACGAGCCAGGAATGTAGTACCAACCTTAACAACGACTTTGCCAAAATAAAGAGACTGTAACGTGCTTGTCACATACATGGCAAATTCATAACTTCTGGTTACATCAAGTTAGGACAACACATGCAAGGAATGTTCTAGTAACCTTAATTATGCCTTCAACAAGATATAGTGATAGTAATGACTAACGTCCAGTTAAATGAATCATTACATGAACATAATTTAAAGTTCCTGTACAGGAAGATGTAGACACCGATGTTCAGTAAAATTATATATAACACACTAAGCCTAACATTTTCACATGTGAAGGTAAAACACAACTAACTTATGCTTTGACTTATTAACAAATGTATATTGTTTTTCCAATAATTAATGAGTTAATACACAAGAACTTTTTTGAGCATCCAAATAGAGAATATTGAAACACAGAATTGAACTTAAATATAATTACAGTCTCGTATGTCATCTATCAAAAATCTAGTTTTATTGAGTATTTTATTAACCCCTAAACGGTTAAGGGGCAGGGGAGATTTGCCGTTCTGGCTTGTCTTAAAATTGAATTAGGCATATTTTAACTGATAAATCGTGACTATATTGTATTTACTGAGGGATA